GGGGGGGGGACTCTGCTCTCCATAGGGTGGCATATGGGGACACCACCTGAAATGTCATCAAAGCATAAAACTGCTGCCAGAAGCAGCATGTTCTCAGTCGTGGAAACCTGGCTTGAAGTGGATCAAAGGCAGCCAGCACTGAGCACCTGGCCCGCGGGGGGTAAACGTGCTGATGGGAGCTTCTTTTTTTCTCTCCAGATGGGCTGCACTTACCTGTCCTTGTGGCTCTTGCACTTTGACCCTAGCTGCTCCACAGCCTTCTGGTTTAGACCAAGTAAGGCTAGGCGGCTTTGGGCCAGGGGTGTGCACAAAGGATGCCACCTGAAAAAAATAAACTTTTGGTAACTGTTTTTAAAAGCCAGACAAAAAACAACAACAAAAAACAACAGTTGCTCCCCCAGGAGGAAACTGGTCGTGGGCCTGGAGGTACTGCAATGCCAGGCCCCCACCAGGAGGACTATCGCTAGCTGTGACGCTCTCCTCTTGGTACCAAAAATACTTTGTCTTGGCCAAAAGACTGATCGAGTCATTACCTGGCAGGGTAGCATGGTATTAGTTCATGTAGTGTTTTGCTGAGATCCCTTTATTCGTGACCTTTAAATGAGTCTGTGTAGTTGAGGGTGGAGATCTAGCCTTTGCAGGGCAGGCAGCTCCCCTATGAGACTCTAACTTCCCAACGGGAGGATCTCGGCCACACGCTATTTTATGGAGATGGGGGATTTCTTCCCTAGCTTGCTTCTTCAGCCTTTTGGCTAAGGGCAAGTAAGACTTGGGAGCATCTGAACCCCAGGATGTCTGGGCTTGGGGCTTGCATGTAGGGTGCCTGCCGTGGATTTGGGCATATCTGAAGCTCGAGGCTGAAGAGCCTGGGCAGTAAGATACTTGCCAACACTACACTAGCACTGAACAACTGAGCTCTGCTCGGTCTATGGAATTTGGCTAATTTGTCCTGGGACATGACACATTTAAATAAAGTGTGTGTATACAAACATGCTGTTTAAAAGGGTATTCATGTGCCAAAACTTGCACAAATTTAAAAAAAAAGTAAAGTGCCACAATTTTACCCAAACTAAGTCTATGGGTACCTGTAGGAATTTGCCTGTATGCAAACTTTGCTCCTCACTTCCATGTGTTTTATACTTGGAGCTATCGATGCAGAACAGGTGAATTTACCAACTGTGATTTGCACAATAGTAAGGATACTGGAAAATGTACTTCATTGTGTGTAAAGACATGTAAAGCAGCATCATTCAAATGATAGATCCTGTGATTTTGATATTTATTTATTTATTTTTAATTTCAGCTTTGTTTCTTTTTCTTTTGTTTTTCTTGATGCTCAAAACGTTATGATCTGTTTTAGGAATGTAGTAAGAAACAGAAAAATGATGACAAGCAAAATGCATCTGTTGATACCCTAAGTTCAAATGACGAAGAGGTAATGTTCCTTTTTAAAACATTGTATTAATCATTTTTGTCCTTCTGTATTCTGTACCCTTTTTTTCCTTTGGAAAAGAATTAATATTTTAGAGTAAAATGGATAGATATATCCATCTATCAATAGATTATATATAGTATTAGTCTAATTGGGGTGTGTATGTGTGTTTCTTATAAACCCAAATCCCATCTGTCAGAATTATCCACAGAAAATAATCTAGAAGAGACATAGAATAGGGATATAAGCCTGTTTCTTGGTGTGGGAGGACCTGGAGAGAGTGCTCAATGCCCAGAACTTTTGGTCTCCTCAGTGGGATATGAGGATACTCGGTACCTCCTAAAACCTGAACCCATCATTGCTGGTTCCTTAAGGAATTGGAATTGAAAACAGAACAGACAGCAATGATGAACTTAAATTGGCTTCTCACAGTCGAAATTCTGTAAGTCTTTCCTCAAACCTGAAACGAGTATAAAAAGTGAACTTTTATACTTGATCCTAATGGATTTGGGTCAAGGTTTTTAACAGAATGTTCCTTAAATGCACACTTCATAATTATAAAAATGACTTTCACCTTCTGCTTAACCAGATAATTAATTAAAATAACAGTATTCCTCCTTCTGCCATCTGCCAGCATTTTTATTCTGAGGTTGACTTGATCCTTCAGGGGTCTTAAACACCCTTATCTCTGAGCGTATTGAGAAGTTTAAGTTGCTGAGCATCTCACCCAGTTAGATTGGACCCCCCCCCCCCCCCAAAAAAA